AAAATCGATTTGAATCTCGCGACGAGCGAGCCAGGGCTTTTAAAGCTATTTCGGCGCGGATTTCGTTAAGTGATACCAATAACCCGATGGGACAACAAGGCAGGCCCTTCAGTATTCGGCGGAGGATAAACGAAGGGCCACCAATCCCGGGGGATATTATCTAATCCCGGCGGATTTGTTGATTCTACGACTTGCGCTTGGCAAAGCGCAATGTGGTTTCCATGTAGTGTTGGATTACCCTTATTTTTTCCCCGTGCCCTAAATGCCCTGGCGAAACTTTGCCTCGAAGAAACAACATTCTCGCGGAGTCCCTTTCAAACGCCACAGTTCGCTACTCTTCGCGTCTCCGCCACTTAATCACGTATGTACTTAAAAATCTCTGGCTTCCTGATTTTTGAGAATCGTCGACTTTAAACGCAGGTTCCGTTTACGCAGAATTTGTGCGGACAACGTCAGAAATTTCGAAACTAAGTTCTTTGGTATTAGTCAGGGTGATTAGAAAAAATCACAGGATATCGAAATAAATTTTAACCCTTTATGATAACGCAAATTGAATTTAACATTTTCCTGGGGGGAAAAGAATATTTTTTTATTTGTAGAAGTCTCGTCAAAAAATTGCAATTGGTATTGCCAGGTCGTATTGACCCCTTGACGTACGATTTTTTAAACGCATATTTAATTTTGTTTGAATTTGTTCGCACAAGAAATACCTCGTGAATATAAAAACGTGTCGATTTTAATAGACTCATGATTGTGAAAGTTAATAAAGGCTACCGGAGCGCAGAGGTTTAAGAACAGTAAAAAATATTTTTTTTATCCCGTCTGAAATATAATCAGAATTTTTCAAACGGAGGTGTTTATAAATCGACGACAATTAACGAGGAAAGGAGAGTCTTGTCGCATCGGGCACACAGCTCCCGGGCATTCTTTGCGCGACTTTTTTTCCATGAGACGATCGTTCTTTCGTCGAGCGCGATATTACGTTTGCCGCGTAAACATCTGTTTTGCGGAGGAAAGGGTGGTCGAAGTAAGTCAGTAACTCGTCGGGAAGCCGCCCCGGGGTTCGCCAGGATCGATCACCTCTGATGTAATTATCCAAACGCTGAATTTTTTATCGCGGTGAAACAATAACGTATTTTCAGACCAAACAACATCGCGGTGCAGAGACGCAGAAAGCGCAGCGTTTCGCGTCCTCCGCTTCTGCTTTCTGTTTGCGTAACGTGTAATAGAATAATCTGCGTAACGGGAGCGTCACCGCGGGGCAAACCGCGGTTCGCGTCTTTCTTTTTCAACGTGATTCTTGGAGTAACACCGCAAAATCTTTTGCAACAACCCCGCGTTATAGATTTAAACTTTTATCGAATTAAATTGCAGACATATCGTTGAATAACAAACGTCGGTTTCGAATCGTCGCAAAGGATCTGTTTGACTTTCATTAATTTCTGTATCGAAGAAACACGAGTTCAGTAAAAAAAAAAAAATTTTATCTCCTAGATATAACATTGGTGCGCCAAAGCTTCTAAAATTCGGTTGTTTTTAACCCAAGTTTTACGGGATTCAAACTTTTATCAAATTAAATTTGCAGAGATATTGTTGAATAATAAACGTTGGTTTCGAATCGTCGTAAGAGATCAGTTTGACTTCGATTAATTGTTGCACAAAAGAAACGCGTGTTCGGTGAAAAAAATGGCAGTTTTATCTCGTCCAAGGTCCGCGAGTTACATCGACGCACGTTTAAAACGTATCTTCCCGACTCGATCGTCAGCCACACGGTGGAGGTCGTCGTTGAGACGAAAATCAGCGCGCGCTATAAACAGAAAACGCGTCTATCCGCGCGGATTTCCGAGAGAAGGAGCGGGACCGAGAGCTCAAAGGAGGAATCGGTTTTTCGATGGAGCCACCCGTGCGTGGCAGCTGCGATCCTTTTTCTCCCGAATCTTCCCTTTCGCGTTTCTTCCTTTCTTCGTCTTCTCTGGGGCTGCGGAAAGCCTCGTGTTTTGCCCCGGCCGCGTAATCCCTTCGTGAACCGGAGGGACGTAGGAAGGAACGACGAGAAGCGAAGGAAGCCCGCGAGGGTACCGTGGGGGCTGGAGTAACAGAGACGGCGACAAGAGGTGGAGGACGGAGGGAAAGAGCGAGCGTATCGCTGGAACGGACGACCCCGGCTGTTTGCCTTTTATTAAACTCTTGTTAAACGCCGCCTTTCTTCGTCCACACAATTGAATCGGCAAAACAGCGAAGATAATGCCCCTGGCGAGCTGTGCGCGACCGAGGGCCGTGGGCTCTACTCCGTGGAAGATTTACCGCAAACACCAGCTCCTTGTGCGCCCTGAAATGGACACCGTGTAATCCGGCTCTTTATACGGCACTGCCGGCATTGACCGGCTCCTCCAAGGCATGCACATCGAGCACTCCCGGTAATAAATGCTCGGTGCGTGGTGAAAGGACCCCCGAACGACCGTGAAAATCGCACGGCCCACCCTCTTCCCGCCGGCACCGCCGAGTTCTAATGAAAATATTTGGATATTTCGAGCGATATCGGCGGTGGCGTGGGCCGACCGTTTCAAAGCGTGCCATTGTCGGGGTAGAACCGTCCGTTTAAAGGGGGGTTTCCGATTCTTCCTGCGACTTCATTCCCCGTAGAAAGGGGTTGTTTACCGTTTTTAGTCTCTCGATGTATGCTGGACGTTCTACAAGCGAAACGCGTGGGCGACACGTTATTAGCGGTCGCGATCGTTTCGAGGACTGAATATTGTTTCGTTAGCGCGAGTCTGTTGACCATTACTGTAGGGTTTTCCAATAGGAACGATGTCTTATTATTAGTCGCTACATCATTTCGGCTATGAAGGGTCAATGAAAAATCTGCAGACCATCGAGTACTTACAGTTATGGAACCTCGTGATATTGTTTGTTAGTAATTTATATTTAATTATGGACTTTAACAAGTCTGATTCGTGACAAAGATTTTGGCTCAAACATGAATGTCACGAGCCAGACACGCGGACAGCAAATCACGATCGTGATTGAGTTTTAGTTCCTATCGGTACGCAACAAGAGTCACGATTCTTCTAATCTCTGTTACAAAGCAGTTTAGCATCGGTCTGGTTTGTTTACTTGATGTTAATTTGATGAAACGTATGCCCTGATTGAAAATAAAATCGCATTTTAATGAAACTGTTGACAGGACGGGGTTGGATGAAAATGCGTATGATCGATGCCCGTGCGTAAATCTAGTGTTAAAATAATCGACGATCGTTAAATTCGAGTATAATTCCCGCCGTTACCTTAGCGCTGCGATCTTATTCTTTTATGTAGTGGTAATGTCGCATGTGACACGCAGACGGTAAGGGGACTCCGTCCGTAGCCGTCCTTCCACCATGACTCATGTGGTACAAAAATGCATTGGTTGATAAATGCAAATATCATTTTTACGTTAGCAGTGGTCAGCAGTTATCGATAGTGGTTAACAGTGATCATCTATGGGGCAGCAGGTGTCGATAGTGGTCAGTAGTGATCAACAGTGGTCATCAGTGGAGGCAGCAGTTGTCAATAGTGATCAGTAGTGGCGCAGACGAGGTATACGAGTAGACTTTTCATCTTATGGACTTTCGTAGCCCAATCTGGCTGCCATACCGACCTGAAAATTCGAATGTGATTTTAGCGTCCTCTTCTCATGGATGGCGGTCTGTTGAGAAACTATTCACTAAATTAGTATTGATGGGCAGACAACTGTAGTGTGTGCGTAAATACGTATGAGTCGACTATGGGGAGGGGATTGAAATTCATTTCTAAATCTGTTGGTAATGTTGCCAGTGATATGTAAATGGTAATGGGGTTTCGAGATCCCAGAAAAATGGGTAGTGGTTAACAGTGGTCACCACCAGATTGTTAGTAGATCTAACCCAGACTTCTGGATATACCTTCCAGCTCGGAAGCCCCAACTGGAATGGGAATTTTTCTTAAAGAATAGAAAATGAAGGGTAGAGGAAAGCCAACGTCAAAGACTCGAGAGTTAATTCGTCGAATTTTATTCCATTCATTTTTATCGACGTTCTATAACATTTTTCGGTAAATATTTCGGCTATAAAATGAGTCACGAACTTATTTCCGAATCGATGTTCGTTTCATCGAGCAATGTTGATTCCGTAATACACATTAGAAATTTATCTAATTTTACGGACGTAATTATTATGGATAATTGTTCAACGACTGGTCGTTCGCTTTCGTGCTTGTATCGCAAGCATTTCGATGACATTATCTTCGATCGGTGTTTAATTTAATTCGACGAAACAGATTGCATTAGAAATTCGTGGAATTTATAATCGCGCGGCGCGGTATCTAGTACTCGTCGATAACCGATTTAATTATCGTTGTTCGTAACCCCTACGATTCGTCGTGACGGCCCCGAGTTCGACGCAATCTTCTTCAAAACAGCTTTAATTGCAGCTCGATAAGGCCGGAAATCAAAGGTTGCACCAGAAAAAATACGAGCAGTTAAATTACGCGAGATATCATAGAATGTGTATCATAAAAAGAATTCATAGAATCGCAAAAGAATTCGTCTCTGATTCGCGCGTACATTCTCTCGCGAACGCGAGCGTTCCCGTTGTTTATTAAATTTTCACGTACGAGCAGCATCGACTTCAATTACTCGTAGAAAATAAATATTTTCTCGTTACAAATTTTACAATTTCCAATGCGTCACGAGGATTGGGTGACAGCAATCATGAAAATTAAATGGAAAGAAAAAGATAGTTGCGTGCAGTTTATAAACGATGTTTATTTCTGCAATTCTGTTGTCGTTATTTAATTCGTTTTTCGTCTTTTTTATTTTTACAACCACGGGAACAGCCCTACATTTTTACTCGATTGGAAAATCTTGGTTGTTCTGTATCCGTGTGTCTCCGTTCTGTGTGCATACACGTGTATATACTTGTTTATTTATATAATGTATATCGAAGTAAAAACTAAGTACGCATACAAAACATAGATTAGTTTAATCATTTTGTGAGATTTTGTTACAGGAACATTACAAGACACTATATATACATACGTATACATATGCGTGGTCTCTATATATGTATATGTTGCGTATACACATACGTTTTACATACTTTCAAACAGAGATATGACATTGGGTATCGTTTCGAATATTAGTGTATCTTTTTCACTCGACAGTCACGATTTCGGCGCGTTTCCTTTAGTCACCCTTATCCGTTAATCTTATTCTTGTTTTACTCTTTCGAACGCATTATATAAACTCGTTCGTTATTTATTGACTAGCGGTAATAATAATTGACTAATAATTACCAAGACGAAAATACGAGATTGGATTTTTGGGGGCGGAGCTCTTTTAAAATGAAAAAATACTACCGTATCAGAACTTGAATCGTCGTTTTGTTTTCTATGCGCGTGTATTTTGCTCGTTTCTTTTGAAAACGACGTGAAACTAAAATCGACCGTATCTAAGGTCCGTAACGCGTCGAAGTAAGGAGAAAGAGAAGGGTACTGGGGAAAATGAGAGTGAACTAAGGAGGATCAGAAGCACACAGAACATCGATGGGAATTAAACGTGTACGTGAATTTGCGCCACGAACAGAAGATCGAAGTTTAATGAACAACAGAAAATATATAAACACAATATACTTTTTAACGTTTAAAGGGTATAGAAAACAAAAGATTCTTAAACATCCTCCAATCGCTTCGACCTGTTATTTTTCTTCGTGGTGACGATTTATATGTGTATATGCGTATTACTAAAATCGTAAGTATAGTCGTAGAAATAGATGCCCGGGACAGAAACAGGTAACTAAGTAATATTATTTGATATCAGTTCGTGAGACTCATTTTTTTTTGGAGGGGGTCGTCGTATCCGTCTTCTTATTGAATTTTACGGGTTCTACATATAAAAATACACGTATATATATACATCAGAATAAACTGTCGTTGATATAACTATAAATTGGATATTTTATGCATGTATACATGTTTGTGTTTTATATATGTTTATGGATGTAATACAAAATGACTCGCAGATGTATTCGAAGACAAACGTGTCCATTCATTCGGATTATACGAGCAACAACGAAATTTTAGAATCGGAAATACTCTTACTCGGAAACAAATCAAATACTTTCGAGAAAAATCGATGCAATGAAATTCGAATGGAAGCTAATAACAGTGACGACAAGTAGGTTGACGATCATAAATAAATTCGTTCTCTTTCTTATATTTTCGTAAATATTTCGCTCGTTTTAATCCGTGACTCGTAAGATAACTTGATCGCTTGTACATGTAAATTTATCGTATATCCAGCGATGCAGGGATTAACGTAGATCACTGCATGTAACTAACGATCTATAGAAAATTTCAAAGCAACACAGACGTGGAATAAAGAATCCTTAAACGACTTATTCTATTTAAAAAATGTGTAAAATTTGTCCGTGTTTCAATTCCCTTCTCCTGATGTGTGTGTGTGTTCGTTTGATGTGATGTGTATGTGTGAATGATACGCGTTTAACCCTCGGGTCTATTCTGACCCAAATCTCAATTTCATTATCTGGTATTCAAGTACAAGTTTCTTGATTTAATTTTTGCGTTGTTAGAATTATTCGATAAAATTCACGAGGGTTAAAGGTTTCACGTTTAATTCTTTCGACGCCAAAGTTCGTACGCTTAACAAACATCGATTTTTTTTATATAAGCGCCAACATCGAAAGATTTAAACCATACGCGTATATATGTACGTTTCCAAAGTCCCTTACAACTAAATCGTAACTTGAAATTATGAACGTGAATCGGGCCTCGATGAAGATGTAACTGGCACTGCTCTTTATACAACAGTTCCATCATTATCAGATAATTGGGGGGGGGAAAAAAACTAGAAATCGACGAATCATCGAACGTAAGTGTTCGGTTCTTAACAAAGAATATACATATCGATATATTATAACGTATCACATGCACTATTCTCCATCCACCTTCGTTACATCGTTCAATAATATAAATACAACGCGTGAAAATTCTACGAGCATTATAAAAAAAAAGAAAGAAGTGTACATACCCGTAAGAAAAAATGAAAGATTCTGTAAAACAAAAGATTTCAATCCTTGGAAAAATTAATCGAACGCGCGTTCGGTACAATTGGCGAACGTTTCTATTGAAATGTACACAGAAAGAAAGTCCCGAATACGGGCGAAAATTTCAACAGTAATCGATCACTTTTAATCATCCGTAAATCTCGAATAAAATTCTTATTCTTATCCGCTGAGAACGATCCTCGCATTACTAATTGTCTGTTTCTCGTCTCGGTGATTGTTGACAAATGTACAGCCTCGTAGAAAACAGTTTCAGACCGGTTTCCAACAACTGTAACTAAATACTATAGCTTCCGATAAACGCGTTCGTCGAAAGCGTCGTTTGAACCGTACGATGTAACAACTATATGGTGAATGCTACAAAAACAAAAAAAAAAGGAAAAGAAAACATGCATATAGACGCATTTGATGCTCGAAACCTTCTATTTCTTTTTTTTTACGACATCGCACATATAACATTCAGTTATTTTTTTTTTTTCTTTTGTTTAACGATTCGTTATGATTACGGGGGGGCTAAAGCCATTAAACTGGTTACCAGAGATACATCGATTAAACGCTGAATTAGTCGATGAGACGGTTTTGGTTCCCGATCGAGAAGATCAGTTCCTTCCTTTGGCTTGTGTGCTCCTATTTTAATTTACTCGGATAATCCGTATTATACTCGGGAGATCAGAGGTTTTCGGAAATAAGTAGCGGCTAGTTCGATTCCGTCCCACGGGGGATGAACACGGGAATTCTCGACTTTTCAAATATTAATTGCTTTCCCACCGTATCTGCGTTCGGACGTACAATTTACGCGACGTTACCTATCCGCCCTCGAGAGAGATTTTTCCCTTCTTCTTCTCTGTTCCATTGATCTTACTCTGCGAGTGCTTCCGTAAGCCTGAGAACACGCGTGCATTTTCTGTCGAGGACACAGTCGATACGGGAACGCGAAGGTCACGGCGTCGCCTAGGATGATTCCAGGTTCGCGTTCGGTGACATGAACGACATTTCCATGGTCATACCGGCGCTGTTGCGACGGAATCTCGATGGAATCTCGGTGCTGTTGCGCGGCTTGCGTTTGCTAAGGTGCCTCTCCACCCACTTCAACATCGTCAGCACGGAATCCGTGCTTGGCAAACGTCGTTCCGCCGAGGTGCGAATTATATGCGACGACGCGACGCGGAAAGTGGCCGCCATACCTTTCAATGCCTGTACGGAACAACAAACGATCGCGCTAATAAGTATTAAATATCGAACAGGATCAATTCGTACCGACGAGTCGCGGTCAAAATCGAATCTGTGAGACTTTTTGGCTACTAGAACGATTTTGACCGTTAATTATCGTATATTGGTAGATCGAGGAGTGTATTTAGGAAAGGTTCGATCAAGCGCTTGTGAGAGAGACAAGAGCGTAGCCCTCTGGTGGCGAGCACGAGAGGTGACACCACCTTTCAGAGCCTGTAGGGAACAAACGCTCGCGAGAATAAGTTATTAAATATCGAACAGGATCAATTCGTACCGACGAGTCGCGGTCAAAATCGAATCTGTGAGACTTTTTGGCTACTAGAACGATTTTGACCGTTAATTATCGTATATTGGTAGATCGAGGAGTATATAGGAAAGGTTCGATCAAGCGCTTGTGAGAGAGACAAGAGCGTAGCCCTCTGGTGGCGAGCACGAGAGGTGACGCCACCTTTCAGAGCCTGTAGGGAACAAACGCTCGCGAGAATAAGTTATTAAATATCGAACAGGATCAATTCGTACCGACGAGTCGCGGTCAAAATCGAATCTGTGAGACTTTTTGGCTACTAGAACGATTTTGACCGTTAATTATCGTATATTGGTAGATCGAGGAGTATATAGGAAAGGTTCGATCAAGCGCTTGTGAGAGAGACAAGAGCGTAGCCCTCTGGTGGTGAGTACGGGAGGTGACGCCGCAAGTCCGTACCTTCATCGCGTCTTCGTCCGTGACGTCGTCACCGGCGTAGATAATTCTGATACGTTCGCTCCAGTCTAAACCGAAAGCTGTACGGAGGATGTAGATAGAAGCGTGACCCTTGTTCCACTCGACCGGTGGCTTCGCCTCTATGGCACAATGGGCGGGACAAGCTTTGAATCCTGAATCCTCGATGATCTTCTTTGCTTGCTCGATCATTTGAGGACGACGTTCCATCGGTGTCTCGCGATAATGGAACGTCAGCAGGGCGCCCTTGTTTTCCACCCAGGCGCCGTCTCTGCAGAGCTATGATCATCGAAACAAAACGTTTGAAAGCTTCTTACGTCATACAGGATGTACCGCTTGTAGATAGAGATGAACGTTACAGAGCAAAGTTAAATGGTTTTTAAGTTAGTGAAATTATTAGAAGCGACAAAGCTTCCCGCTTGAAATGATTTTTGTTTCGTGACGATTCGAGTGTTCGGTTTGAAAATTCCATTTTCTCTTCTCCCTGCCTACAATCGTCTGGTAACGCGTATTAAATATAGTTAAACTTTATACACACTCAGTTCCGAAACTACTGGTGATTTGTCCATAATTGAGACGTCATTAGAGGCGAGGAAGCTTCCCCTTTAAAATGGTTTTTGATTTTTGGTGATCGGACTTTCCGTTTTCGAGATATCGTAATTTATGTGAAAGGGTAATTTTTTATATTCCGCTCTCCGTCTTACGAAAGCCTATTAACGCGTATTAAAAGTAAGAAAACTTTAGACGCGTGCAGTTCCGAAACTATTACCGTTTTATTAATTATTGAGGCGCTGTTAGAAGCGGCAAAGCCTCCCCTTTAAAATGGCTTTTGGTTTTTGTCGATCGAACTTTCCGTTTTCGAGATATCGTAATTTATGTGGAAGGGTATTTTTCTTAATTCGACTATCTCTGTCTCCGTCTGACGCGTCGCGTCGTATCTCTTTCTCGTGGGTGAATCGAGGCAGTCACGTGACCTAGTTTTGGCGTAGTATTTCCAAGAGTTCATTGATCTCAATGAAACGTAAACAAACGCTTCGGCTTGAAACTAAAATCGCTATATCTCTGGAACTAATAAAGCTATCGACCTGTTCGAACGCTCATTTTAAAGGGCATTTAATCCTCTACCCGCACAACGAAGTTTTAGCAATTCCTATCGATTATCGTAGGTGTTAATTGCGCCATGAAACGGAACACAAAGCAACACTCACTTGTTCCTGCAACGTTTGCATCAGGTTCGCGACCTTTCCCTCCAGTTCACCCGGCATCGGGTGCACGAATTTACTGCCGTCCGGATGCAGTATCTCCAAACCGTGGTTCCCAGCGTACGTGATACCCTCTATACCAACCATCGACTTGACGTTGTTCACGTTTCTGCCTGATATAATTGCTATGTACACGTCGGACATGTTAGACAGCCTCTGCAAGACGTTCTTCGTCTCCAGAGGTAAAATGGCGAGGTCCGGATGCGTAGCGATGGGCGCCAGGGTGCCATCGTAGTCCAGCAACAGGGCCAACTTATGGTTGTCGCCGATATACCTAGGGGACATGTGGTATCACTGGAACGTTACCCGGCTTTCATCATGAGTTAGGTCGCATTCGCACGCGCGGGCCCGCCGTCTTCCAAAAGCATTTTCTGGCTAGAGAAACAATCGTATGCGCGTCGAACCCATCGTTTCATCGTCGCGATAATATACAATCCCCGAGGAATAATTCTTCATTCTCGTTGGATACATCAGGAGAATCGTATCGCGTTAAGGATGGATGTTCGGGAAATAAAAATACGTGTGTACAGTTATTTCGCGGAATCATTCGATACCCATTTGTCGTTTGATCGTGGCCACAGACACCATCGAAAGCTGGTAACTGATAAAATCCCTACGCTGCGACGTACCCAAACTCATGCTTAGGCCGTTCTCCCGCTTACGCGATGCCACAGCGACGGGATCGACAAAATTCAACTGCGTGCACGAAGTACGAATAGAACGTCGATTGGAAAACACGACATTTATGACAATTTTTTTTTTTTTGTCGTAAAAATGGAAAATCATAGTTCTACGCGCACCCCCAGTAGCGAAGGTAATTTTTTAATGGTATCGCCATCGCGCTGCATGGAGAGAGAACTGCCATTAGTTTAATAATCTGTTCGAGTGTAAAGTTCATATAATAATTATATCGAGCGAAAACGCATTCCGTTTAAATAGTTTTGTCAACGCTACAGAGTTTAAATTGTTTCTGACTTTTGAAAAAAGAGGATAGTGTAACAGAACAACGATATAATAAATCTTGATAAAAATAAATTTACAAGTGTGTGCATGCTGCTGTAAGAAATTGAATAAGAGACGTGTTCTTGTTGCTTTGAGATCACACCAGTTATGGACGATTAATGCATCGAGTTTCTGTCGTTTGTAAGCGTAAGTTAATAGTTTGCCCATAACGTATGTATCGAAGTACGATTAATTTGTATAATCGGATAGGGATTCACATTTTAGTGTTAAAGATCATTAACACATTGAGAATTAAACTTACTTTTGTTGTGTATTATCGATTTCCCGTTTAGGCACATGCTCTGGTCGGGCCCAGTCATGCACTTTTCGTAACGCCGTTGATACCTACTTGCTCAAATAGTCGTCGAAATCGTCCATGGTCACCGGCTGCATGGTCGTGGCGCCCACGGAATCGTGCTCCTCGAGCGATCCCATCACTTGCAGGAACGATTTCATCCAGTAATTGACATCGTAGATCCTCTCGCGGCGTCTCAAGTGATTCATCCTTAAAGTGCGTTCATCTTCTGGCATAGTAAGTGCCCTAAAACGTTCGATGCGTAACGTTAACGGTTCGATTGTTGCTTTTTGTCGCACATTCTTAATGGAACTACGACGTACAGGGTGCTTCAGAATCATAGGTATAAACTTAAGTGACTTATAGTTGGATCAGACTCGATACTTTTACGCAGCGTCAGTGCCTACTCTTTCCGTCAGATCAGATGCAATACAGCATCGACGACTCTGATCCAACTTTTGTTCACAAGAAAAGAATTACCCATTCGCAAACGTAAAAGACAACCCATCGAGATATCAACGATTCTTATTTTATAGGGAAGCAGTACCTAGACAAAGGTTATTCAAACTGTCGTAACTATCCTGTAAACAAACATCGTTCAGTGCGGTATGCACGATTCTTAAGAATTTAGAAAGCTTACAAATTAAAAAGTACCTCTAGTGAGATATTCGAAAACAGAAGAGTCTTCACGATTAGAAAAATACCTCTAACGAGATCTCAATGAATATCTCAGTGTACAATCAGTAACCTATTAATTAGGAAGGATCGTTTCTGGCGACCCTTTAAGACTCTTTTGTTCCCTTCCGCGAACTCTTCTAGCCAGTCAAGTCTGTACCTATAATTCTGCAACACCCTGTAGTATCAGCGTTCCGAAGTACCTGTGTATAACTTCCGCCGCCTCGTCTATCTCGTACGGATTGCAGATCAGCGCCTCGTGCATCATCTCCCCGGCCCCAGCGAACGGCGAGACGATCAACACGCCTGGCGGTGTGTTGATCTGACAAGCGACGAACTCTTTCGCGACCAAATTCATTCCATCCCTCAATGGCGTGACCAGAGCGACCGCGGCGTCCCTGTAGAACGCAGCCAGCTCGTCCTGGCTGACGCATCCGTAAATGTAGCGAATGGGCGACCAATTGGGCGTGGTGAATCGACCGTTTATGCGACCGATCAGCTGATCCATCTCCAGCTTCAGGTCCTGATACTCGCGGACGTCGGTACGCGACGGAACGGCAATTTGAAGCATGGTGACCTGAAAGAAACCATTATAAATCGTGTCTTAGAGCATCGAATTAAATAAAAATTGGCAGAAACATTACCTGTTCGCGATGCTCTGGATGCTTCTCCAGCAGCCTCTCGAAAGCTTTCAATCTGTGGACCAGACCTTTCGTGTAATCGAGACGATCGACGCCCAGCACGATCTTCTGATTGGTCAGCATGACCTTGTTGGCGGTCTCAGCCATCGAGACAAATCTGTCGAACGGAATGGCGATGGGAAGCGGTCTCACGCGCACGGTTCTTCCCCCGTGCTCCACTAACAAGTTCTTACGATCGACTCTGCAACCGAGGCTCCTCTGGCAGCAGTCGACAAAGTTCAAACAATAGTCCTGAATGTGAAAGCCGACCATGTCGCAACCTGGGAAGCAATTTGCATTTTCGTTTCAAACAAGATCAACACGATGTCACGTTTGTATCGAAGAGGAACGTGGAATTTTGTGGTTGGTTTTGAAAGCAATATGGCTACTGGCTCCCTTCTCGAGATCAAATTAAGAAAGGCTTGGGCATGATTTGTTTTTGGCATTGATCGAACTCGAGTACTGTTGCAGAGGAGAAACGATCAATGCATGTATCCCTAACGCAGATTGATGCAAGAAACGAGGGAGTACAGTATATTGGAATTAACGAAAAACTCAACTTGGAAGACCTTCCTCCAATTTTGCCGAAGCATCGTAGATTTGTAAGGATAAATATTTTTTTTTTTAAATATGATGTTCCATCAAAAGCTTCGAGCAGAAGGAGTTGAATGAAGGGGCGCTTACCGAGCATTCCTTGAAGAATTTCATCAGCCCAAGGGAACAGCCTGAATATGTCCCACGGTGGGAAGGGGATGTGAAGGAAGAAGCCCAATTTTAACTTGAGATCTTTCTCGTCGGCTGCTTGTCGAATCCAGTTCGCGGCTAACATCAAATGATAGTCGTGGACCCAAACCAATGGCGTGCCGTTGGATTGATTTTCCTGCTCCTTGTGGATTTGTTGCAACGCACCAACCTACAGAGAACGACACACTCAGTCTCACATATTTTTAAATTATTCTCCCAGGATACACGCTGCATTGATCGAATGTTAAAAATGCAAGCATTTTAATATTTTCGCTGCCAAGTCAAAACCGTATAATATTCTGCACAAGTAAAATTTTGATTTTTGATCGTTGTAAGCTGCATAACCTGCAACTTGTTTCAGTACTCGTTTCCGTAATCTTGTTAAAATTCACGAATTCTATTCAAATTTATTTCCCTCGTCGTCTTAGCTTGAGAATTAATTTTTCTAGTATCATATATGGGTGACGTGGCAGTCAAAGTGTTAAACCAGCAATATCGAGCAGTTGGAAAAAATAAATATCGTCAATCTTCGAGTCCTTAGATGGACGGAATGATCTAGGTTCGCGCGTATACGCGAATGCTATGGTATTGCGAGTATCTAAGAGTTAATCGATCATCTCGATTAACTCGTACTAATCGAGAATTAATCGATTATCTCGATTAACTCTAACTCATCGAGAGTTAATCGATTACCTAGATTATAACTCGAACTTATCGAGAATTAATCGATTATCTCGATTAACTCGAATTCATCGAGAGTCAATCGATTATCTCGATTAACTCGAACTAATCGATAGTTAATCGATTACCATTAACTCGAACTCACCGTCTTTGCTGCGAATTCTTCGTTGACGGCAGAATACGCGCGCCAATGCTCGGCAATGAAGGTCGCTCTATCGGGCATTGAATGGAACAGTGGCCAGAAGGTTCCATTGCAGCATCCATTGTAGTACGCGTCGAAGATGGACGGCTCGACGTGCACTGCCACAACCTGGACAACAGAAAATGCGATCTCTTTAGTCCACGGATCGTCCATCGCCACGAATCTAGATTATTTATTTACTTCGATGCAGCGACAGGTCCAGAAACCTTCGTGAGAATAGATTTTTAAGCTTTCGCTTAAAATTTCATTAAAATTCGGTGCATACGAAACGTTGAATTTTACTTAATTTATTTACGTTGAATTTTTTTATTATCTGAAAAAGGGGTGGGTTCGAATATTATACGTTTTCTCATCGCCACTGTGGATGTCACAATATTTTGATGTACAGATGCTTCGCTCTAGAGACACTTTTCCTTTTTGATACGAGTTATCTTTCAATTAAAAAAAGAAAGAAAAAGAAAAGTATCCCCCGTCCGTCGTTTTCGCTCGCCACGGTATATTAAGCGCGGCGAAACGTGTTTATATTGTCGTTATCGTTCCCTTGTATTTTAATGCATCTACTGCCCAGAGTGCACTTCTATTTTTATCGTATCTTAAGTCGTAGATATTCGTTCAATTGCTACAAATCACCGCGCGTCGATCGTACGTAACAAATAACATTGCGAATGTTAAATCGATGACGATACGTGTTCCGTGTTAAACGTCCGTACGTTAATCGTCGTAATTCCACGAACACCCCGCAATCAATGCACACGAAAAGCATAGCGTGTCGTTTTCCTGTTTTATCAGGATCGACGTCAAAAAAAGTCGTATAAGTTGTAAGTCAAACTGATCCACCGAATCGATCGCGTTAAAATTATGGGACGAGCTGGAAGAAATCCGTAATTACCTTATCACTTTTCTATCAATGTACAGTTAAATGTTTTCTTTTCTTGTATTATCATCCAAACGTTTCAATTATAGCAGCAGCCCTTGATGTGGCTCGTTATTAACCTTATTATCTTAACGCGATTCGCGTTGTTTGGAGTACGAATCTCCCTCGTAACACGTAAACCCACTTTAACGATCGATCGAGGACACAAACATTATGAAAAATGTGTATTATTTGACCTTGTTACCAAGTTACATTTATGTACTACCAACAATGCTTAATCACCGAGCTGATTATAACCGAGTCTACTAAAATGTTTGTATACAATGTTCGATAATTCCTTGTTTTCCTTAATGTCAGATTAACGGGTCAATCTTATGTCAATTCCTTGAGTAATCAATTGCATGTATTCTTGGAAGAAGTTTGATGGATGGTCGCATGTGATGGGCGCATGACGTTCAAGTAGCCTGAACGAACGATTTTCTAATGGATTTTCTAACGGAGTATTCATATTTTTATTAACAGAATCAACGAAATGGGAGCTTCGTGGAGGGTTCTCTCAATCTTAATTCTCAAAAAACTACAGTCTCCAACTAAATTACTTAATTAACACATTAATAAATTAACACATCTTCTCGATCCATATTTCTACTGTGAATTTTATAATTCGTCGAAACTTCTATACAAATACGACCAACTCTCAAATTACAAATTATTTTATTTAGAAACAAAAAATAATATACCTCCGAGTATAATGTTCGCAGCTTTCGTAGTCTTTTTTAATTAATCGTGGCGTTAATTCGAAGGGAAAGCGAGTTTTTTTTTTCTGGAAAAACGACTCCAAAGAAGTCGAAGAAGGAGGAGCACGGCAGAAATTCGCGTTCGCTGCGATCGGAAGTGCATAAAGTCCGGCCTAGGAGGCCGATAACGAACTGTTGTCAATAAGCGACACGCTCCCCGCCCCATATTAATTGCCCGTTATCCACCGAGACTTCGTTTGTTTGCTCGCGAGACGCGGCCTCCTTTATTTCCGAACACGAGAAAACACGTCTCGATCGTTGATTGACGCAAGCGTACGGCCAATCGCTAATGAAATAATTATTAATGTCTCCTCGCATAGACACAACCATCTGAGGGTGGATCTGTCGTATCTTAATTGAGAATTAAAGAGAACGTTTCGCAACGTTCGACGATATCGGGGTCTACGCAGCGACTATATCGCGGCAAACACGGCTTATTTATACGTAAGATCGGGAGTATTGATTTCTCGATACACCCGGTTGTTTGTAAACAGCCAGCGTCCAGTGCACGATCTTTAACCCTTTGGGTACACATTTATTTGAAAATTTGTTTGCGCTTGGAGCAAAAAAGCATTTAATTTTGTGGGCAAGTAAGAACAGTAGATTTTATGCAATAATTAATTCATTTCGTATTATTCATTATATATACTTCTACGTAATATTGAAATAACTTCTGGCGGTTAGTATTACAAAATACTTTTGAAACAAATGAACTATGGTCGTAATAAATAGGAAATTATTAATAATTTTGAACCGTGTGATACTTTTCGAAACAGGTTGGTAAATGCAGTGGTACTTTGCATTCTTTGCACTGCCAGGTAGTGTTGAAGTCCGGGATGAAGAAATTAGTACGCGGGCGAAATATGAATATATATATATGTTTCAAGCGAACAATGGCGGACATTAAAACGAGCCTGACAGTCAGACGGTCAAGAACGTAATGCTGCTTCTTGCATACTTTCTAAATCTTATATAGTAAAACTAAAGAAAGGAAAAAGGGGCATGGTATGACGAACCTATGTGAACTCTACCCTTGTTGACAAAATGAACAAGGGTTTGTCATCCAGGCGACTAAGAGGCGATGAGCCAGAATATACATTGATAAGGAGGTTGGTCATCCAACAGTAGTATCCTTCCTAATTTGGTGTTGAAAACAATCATGGCACCTTTTCTGTAGGCGTTCCTTTGATCTTTCGCCTGCAAACGCTGTGGCGTATCGCCACTTACAGGGGCGTCCACGGGTTTTATAATTTGGCAATGCGATTTTCTCCGATAATTCTTCGGCAATATTCAAACGAAAGGAAACAATGCCTGTTTTAGTTGTGTTGGTAATTTTATAATACAAAACATATGCATTATAAATGGCCATATCTAGTAGATAAAAGAACACTGTATGATAAGCGTCTTGTACGTCTTGGAATAATTTCACTATCATTATCACTTTCTAGTTCGATATATTCTTCATCATTTTTATATTGAAATTCCCCTTTATCGCTAAAAGGATCGTTATAAAACTCTTCGTCACATTCAAGATCACTACTTTCATTAAAACTGTCGCCTATCACTTTGATAAAATATATTCTCTATTTCTGTTGTGGCGTCGCCTCCCATGCTCGCCACCAGAGGGGTCGCGCTCTCACAAGCGCTCGACCGACACCTCGGTTGCTATATATACAATCCTCCTATTATGGGGTCGTGTATCCCAAACAAGGTTCACCGAACTACTGAAATTATTTGTTCTCTTGCAACAAATACGCATTACTTTGAAATAAACCAGAACAAACTAGTTTAAATCTCGTCTCAGTTTCAATGACCTATCAGAACGTCATGTTCGTCTTTGCCCAAACAAATGCATGGACGGTACTGATACGTCAAATGCGACCAAAAACACCTCGTCGAACGCTCGAAACGGGGACCAATCGGTCGAAGATGGCCAATTTTTCATCCAGAATTTATAATTACGATTCCAACAACGTTAATTAGGAGAATATGTAGAGCTAGAGAGAGATGCTCTCGAGAAAATCGAATTTCAAAATGTGTATGGTGTTGGATATCGGTTTAAGTAGAAACAGTCAGCGACAAACAGACGAATCGAATCGTATCCAACTTTCAAGTACTGTTATCTCGAACACGAAGCATTGCAAGAAGAAATTTTATTCAACGATTTAAACTCATTTTGCCGGGAGTAAATATGAACAACATTAATGTGAAACTTTTGTACGAGTGGTTTTTTGCAGTAAAGAAAAGAAAAGAGAGAACAAGGTAGACGTTGGAAAAGTTACAGTTCTGGCATTATAAACTATTGCTACGGCCATTATAACCAGCTGAAACAGAGGAAACCACTTCCAATCGCTGTGTCTTTGTAAAATACGTCCTCGTTGTTTGATAAACAATGATTATCCAAAGTCGATGATACTTCTAACGACGAAAGTGCAACGAATACCTCAAACAGAGTCTATATCAACGTATATTATTCAAATAATAATTGCTACATTTGGTTACTGATTATTTGTATTATCAGTCGACTTGTTACATTTTATAAACGAAACTTCTGTATATTTGAAGCTCCAGTTCTGTTCTGATATAATTGGATGCGTTTGGATCCATATCTAAACCCATTACAATCCAAACAAAATAACTAAATTAGGTTCTCGGATAAATATTAAAAAGATGTAAACTTGTTGATTTCTCCTGAACGAAGTAGAAACGATATACATTATATTGATTGAAAATGAAGTTTCAAATACGAACGATAAACTGAAAGAATCTAAATTTGTGACACTATTCGAATACTAGAAATACCAAAATGTTCAAATACTCAAAGTACTCCAATAGCATTCAGATTACAGGAGGACCTCGATTAATCGACTCACGATTACCCAGGGTCTGTTTATCAACAACTAGTATTTGCACAAGTTGAATGTATCAGTACACTATTCTTCGCGTTTTAACAAGATTTCAAGTCTGAATTTATTTAACAACTTTCCCCGCATTTCCAATATTTTTCAAAACAGTATCGAGGATAGTTTCATCCCTTAAGACTATTTCTATGGAAATTACAAGAGGATATCCTTTAAAATTTTAACTTGAAATTATTTTCGTTATCGTTATTCGTATCCAAACGTTAAGAGACACCTTTTGGTCGAAACAAGCGCGAATAAAACCGCGGTGGAAGCAACGTTAGGTACACGTTTTCCATGTAAAACGCACGCATACAAGAGTCATCGAGCTCGTTCGACACGAGTGTTTCGCAACGCACCAGGGGTCAAGACGTTTGTAAAAGATTATTCGTTTCGCTTACTGGCGGAGACCGTAAACAATCCCGGAGATGGTATATTGTAGAGCGTCAAAAAACGAACGGAACGATTAAAAACATTTTAATTGCCCGTTATCGACGACCGCGAGAGCTCAAAGAGTATAAGCACACCCGCGCGCAT